GATGGATCATTATGGTTTCTTCTCAAGGGAACAAAAAACCAGTCTCACTACTCAAGGCTGCAGGGAGCCCCCTGGCAGGAGAGATGCAAAGCTATGGTTGTGTTTAGTCGGCGTGTGGGAAAGCGCTTTGCTTAGAGCGTCTCTCTCCAGCCATGAGGGCTTCGTGGGCTTCTTGGGAGCCAGTGGGCATGGGCATCAGCTTGGTGGGCAGAGCAAGCCAGCAGGTAGGGCAGTTGGAATCTGTAAAGCTAGTGAGAAAGACCTGGCCCCTTTGCTGGCCAGACAGGCGGGTGGTTTCCCAAACGCTGCTGAGAAATTCCTCCTGAGGAAAGAGTTTATCCAGAGCAGCAAGGACGATTTCTCTGTGACTCGGATGCTGTGCCCTTTTGGTATCGCCACATACAGCCAACTGCAGGACGCCAGTCACTGAGTGTCAGGTCAGTTTTGCTGCAGAATGAGCCCTCCAAGATAAAAGAAATGTAGGGCTTAAAAGAACCCTACATTTGGCTTGTGCTTCTGTGGCCAGGCTATTGAGCCGAGTTCGGCTGGATTGCGTGGCTGTTGGTTTCAGCTGGGCTCTCGCGTGCATTTGCAATCAGCCCTGAACGTGGGTCGGAGGTGGACAGACCTTGGATTGGGTCCCAGTGGGGCTGCTTCCTCAGCAGGTGGCATTTGTTGAGAGTCAGAAGCCAATGGAGGGACATTGCTTGAAGTCTGAAAGGAAAGATTTATAGAAGTTCGTGAAGGAGGCGGCGTTCACAAATGCACAGCACAACCTTAGGAATGGCCCTGTTCATGGCTGCATCTAACCCTGAGTATTTCTGAAGCAGGGAAGCCATGTCTTGAGAGGCTGAGAAGCCCTGCTCTGTGAATGGTCCACAGAACTGAGTGTGGCTTGGGGGTCTCCAGAGGGCGTTCCCACGCCTCTGTGGAGAGCTGCTGTGCATGGTGTTTCTGAGCCACTGGGGGAGGGCAGTGCCAGTGTACTGGCCAGGGTTTATGAGGAGGAGGTCAGGAGCATCCCCCTCGTCACCCTGGCTGCATGCAGTGGGGTCCAGAGGGGTCCTCAGTAATGTAAGTCTCTGGTTTGGAAGTGTCTCCAAAAGTTGGATCTCTTGCGCATTGGCAAAGAGGTAGTTTTAACAGAGGGTTATGAAGGCCTCGAGGTAAGGGATTTCTGACCACTTCCTCGCCTTTCACAGAAGATACCTAACTGGATAATAGCACTGCTAGCTTTCATGTGTTGTTGTCCATCTGCTGGTTTATACTGGGGCCAAGCCGTGTTGCGGTAGGAAGTAAGCTGTTTCCCTACTTTCTCAGGCTATTGGGGGCCAGTTGTTTTTCAGTTAAGGGTACAGTTCAGCCTCGTGGGGAAGTTGAAGGAATCATGAGGGTGTTTCCCATGGTGTCTGGTGGGGCTTACGGAGAGGAGAGAAACAGGGTCTAGGGTCCTCCTGAGGGCATCCCTGTAGGAGGACAGAGACTCATTGAGCTCTGGGGTGTTCCCCCAAAAGCTCAAGTTTCCTCCCAGACTTCTCTAGTGAAACTGGTGGCAGTAGTACCCTTTAATTCTCTGTCTCTGTTTCTGTCTCTCTCTCCATAACTTATGACCCCATTTAAGGCCTTGGGGGCCTCAGTGGATGCCCTGACCATGAGCCTTTGACCACTTCTGCATTTGTTCCTCATCTTTGGATCCTCTGCCAAGAGGTGATGGTAAAGAAGGGCCATTCCCGAGAGCCAGATTTTCTCTCTGGTGGCTTTCTTGGGTGTCACACATGTCCTACCCAACCATAAAAGACCAAAGCATTACAACGGCACCAGCCCCTTGACCTTGTGAGGATGATTTCCCCTCTCGCTCCTTCAGGTGTCTATCAATGTCTTCTCTGTGTTTTCTTAAATCTGTGCAACACTCAGAGGCTAGCGTGATAAACAGTGAAGCACTTGCTGTCACAGTGGCTGGGCAGGATAACAAGTCGAGGTCTTGGGGTCCCGTCCTGTGGCGAATGGTGGCATTGTGTAGGAAGCACTTGCAAAGCCCACTGCTGTTTACTCCGAGTGAGTGCCCCAAGTCTGGGACTCAGCAGCTGAAGAACTCACCAGCATAATAGGATTGCGTGGCCTGCTTTAGGTCGTCAGCCAGAGGAGCAGTGCTGGGCAGAGAAGCCTGAGTGGGGGTGGGCGGCAGCACTTTGAGTGGCTTCTAGTAACCCGCAGATATGCTTCATGAACCATCTAGTTTCTTTCCCAGCTGTATCAGACCGCTGAAAGAACGGCGAACTGGGTCATTTCTTCTCCGTGTACAGTTTGTTATCAATTGTCCCGCATGTGCAGACTGTTGGATCCTGTTTGCTCAACTGCACGCGTTGCCTTTACAGTCTGTGTACATGTAGAAGTCTGTGACCGGGTGTGGTCCAGCGGTACATGTACCCTTATAGAACCTTGATCTCCTTTATCTGTGATGTCAGGATATGGATTTTCAAGTGACGGTTTTGTTAAATTATGTTTAAGTCAATCTGGGACAACCTTACTATTTCAGCAGAGTCCTTTGTGATAATTATCATCTGAGATGTGCTAAGAACTCTTCTTCCTTTATAGCCTCCTTGTTCTATTTCCCTTTCTGTAGGGCTGACTCGAGTGATTCTGGTGACTCATGCTTTCTTGGAAGACATCACTGGTCAGCCTTCATCACTAGAATTTCGTTCGGCTGTTGATCTTCTCTGTCCCACCCTGGCAGGGAGTAACAAGTGACCAAGTCAGTGTCTTGGCCCCTTTGACCACTTTTGAGGCACAAGAAAGTTTAGAAGGAGTAGCTCCTAGGTCCAATAAAACCCACACTCATGAAACTCAGAATAGTCAAGCATACAAATTTCCTTTCCCAGTCTTCATCCTCTGCAAAACTTTCTGGACCTATTCAGACCTTCCACTTTTGTCGCTATCTTTTCTTTTTTCCCACCCAGGTCAGGTGGTAGCTTAACACATAGAATTCTTTCATACTTAAAATGCATCTTCATACATATAACTTCCTTACATCTCCTCTGTCCTACTCACTGCTTCCCTCCCATAACAAGTCCGGGAGCTGATTGAGTTTTTAAAAGCTTTTGCCACCTCTTTTCCCTCTTTGGCCCCAGTTAACACAGGTTTACATTCCCAGTAGGGTTGGCTGAACAGTAGACTTCCAAGGAGCCTTGAATAGCAAAATTATCCTCATTTGAACAGAAAACAGAAAGAACAGCAAATTAACCCTGCAATTGCAGCTTAAGAACAATCTTAATGCACAAGAGGTGTCTTAAGCATCCCATTTAGACCAAACTAGCAACTTAGATTGGAATCTAAAAGTAAGCTCACTAGTCTGCCAGTGTGTGTCTCAGTGGGCTCCTGTTCACCCTCATAGGGTACTGGTTACCTCCCCTGGGATCCCTGGAAAGAAGTCAGCCTCACCTGTGTTCCCCACTAGGACCTGATGCAGATGGTGCAGTCTAGGAGCCATTTTTTCCTTCTGGCATCCACTCTGGGACTTAGTGGGATTCCATGAGTGAAAGCCATAACTTCTATCTAACAGCACCAGTTTACCTGGGCAGATGGAAGAGCAGTTCGGTGGTTTGGTAGTAGAAGGAGAAGAATTTGAATGACAGAAAGAGATGGGGCACATAAGAAGTGACTAAGGGCAAGGGCAGAGAGCCCATAGAGGGAGAGAGATGTGAAAAAGCTATTTGTATGCAGAGGACTTAGGTAAGAGTCCCAGAACTCAGAAGCAATCAGGGCAAAATATTTAGGTTGTAGGAAAATACACAACCAGAACATTTTATCGTCCTGTGTCTTAGTTACTTTTTGCTTGTCGCTGAGACAAAATACCTGATGCCCAAGTTGGGAAAGGAAAGGTTTATTCTTACAGTTTTTGGAGGTTTCAGTCCACACTCAGTTGGCTCCAAGACAGGCAGGCATGGCTGGGCTGCAGTTCATGGCGGCCGCCCACAGCAAACTCGAACCAGCAAAGAGCAAGACACACCTTCTTCCTGCCATTACATCACATCCTGGCTCCACCCCTATGTGGGTGGAGCACTGACACCATCAATCCAAGCGCTATACAATGAACCATTACAAATGAACAATGCAAACTCATGAGTCCTGGGGGACACAAACACAAACCATGACATCCTGTTACGCAAGTGTAAAGCATAAACCTGGCACACGCGTGGGAGTTGTCCTGAGCCGCAGAACCTTCAGTGCCCCTTCCTATGACTGAGTTACCTTTTCCAGCAGCAGTGCCCTGTTGGCATGTCACTGTCTGATCCATGCCCACAAAAGTGCAATGGGATAAATAAGATGAGACAATAAGACCTCCTGGCCTCCTGGCTGGCTCACCAGAACAAATGTTACCAGGCGGAGGAGATCTGGGGGGCTTATTTCCGGGTTAGTGATGGCCTGAAGAATTGAGCAGGACCCGTGGAGTAACAAGAGTCAGCTGTGTTAAAAGGGAAAGAGGCAGAGGTCCTCGCCTCCCGGTGGAAGTGAGAAGAGCTCACAGCTCCGTACAACTGGACAGGTGCTGTGTCCCTTAGGGTCCAGGGGCTGTGGGACGCTCTGTAGCTGGGGCTGGCGGGAATGGCCGCTATATGGAGTATCTGCCTTGGCCTACCCATTGGGAGGGGCTTTAGGGTGGCACCGGTTTATAAAGGAGGTGTCGTGGCATCCAAAGCCCACAGTGGGTGGGGTGGCAACACTGCAATGCAGATGAAGTTGGGCACAGGCCAGGCTTGTGTAGTTTTGGGGTTCTGTGTGCCTGGGGGCCTCGTGGGGGGGGCGGGGTGACTTTTATCTGTGGTTTCCTGATGTTTGGATGTAGTCCTCCTTGCCCTGTCTGGTGTTTGATTCTTGCCCTGTGGCTTCCTGTCCTTTGCTTGTCCTCCCTCTTCCCCTCCCTCGAGTTGGTCCTCAGGCCCCTGCTGGTGGGTACTCCACCCACTCCCTCACTGCCTCTCCTGTGGCTCTGCCCCCTCCAGGTGCGCGGGGAGCTGCTGCGGGAGCGGGTGCAGCGGCTGGAGGCCCTGGAAGCTTGCTTTGCAGAGTCGCTCGTCGCCCTGCAGTTCCAGAAGGCAGCCCGCTCCACCGAGACCTTGTCAGCCTACACTGCGCTGCTTAGCCTCCAGGACCTGCTGCTGGAGGAGCTGAGCGAGTCCGAGGCCCTGACCAAGCTGGCCTGCAGCAGGATCTTGGAGTCCCATGGCCCGGTGAGTGTGGGCCTGGGGAAAGGCTCAGGAAGCCATCATCACCCATCATCACAGAGGGTGCAGCCTCTGTGTCTAGCAAATGCCAGCTGGTCCCAGGTCTTCAGGTAGACCGTGATTGTGCGCCCTGTCTACACTGCAGAGCCTGGGAGAGGACAGAGTGAGGAGATTTTAAACAGAACCCCATGTGGTCTCTTTACCCAAAACTGCTCAGGTTCCCTGCCTCGGAGAAGCCGCCCTTTGGGATTTCGCATCTCTGGAATCCAATGTGTCTTCCAGGCAAGGCTCAGGTCAAAGTTTCCCTTGGCACCATTGTCCCATCAGAGCTCTGACAGACAGCAGTGTGTCCTTCTGCTGAGGGGTCAGATGTGGCGTGGTACATTATTTATTTGTATGCATCTAGTTATTATTGGTGTCGCTACATCCTTTCAAGATAGGAGAAGTTTCACGATACGGAACAGAGGCTACAGCAGTACTATTCTGAGGGCTAATTTTAGGTCTTTGAGGTGTAGATTTTAGTTTTATGTGTTACCTGTTACCATGAAAATTTCTTATAACCAGAGGTTGGTGCTGCATGCCCTTCCCAGTGCTCTGGGAAGCCAAGACAGGAGGATCCTGAGTTCAAGCCTGAATTGTATAATTTAGCAATTTAGTGAGACCCTGTCTCAAAATGAAAAATTAAAAAAAGGCCAAGGATTACCTTAGCCTGAAGGCCCTAGGTTCAATTCCTGGCACCACCCAAGTAGTAATGATAAGATAATAATAAGAATAGCGGGCCGGGGATTTAGCTCAGTGGCATAAGCACCTGCCTGGCAAGCGTGAGGTCATAAGTTCGATCCCCGGTACCAAAAATAATAATATAATAATAAGAAGAAGAAGAAGAAAAAGAAGAGCTTTTTGTAGTGAAGTAAAATGCTCTCATGTAAGCATTAGTAATGTTTAATCATACTTAAGATTACCATTGAAGCACAGTTAATGATAAGTTACAATTTTACTGAATAATTGTGCTCTTTGTCGTATGTCATATTCAGTACTGAGTTGTGCTGTGAGCTGGGTCCCACTGTATCCAGCCCTCAGGTAAGTAAATTGGCTTCCTTGTGAAGACTGCATGGTTAAAGGGGTAATAGAAAGTTTAAAGTACGTAGAGCGGAACATGCCTGTGATATATCACAATACATGGAGTTTAGCTAAAGCAGTTTTTAGAGGGCAATTTGTATCCTAAACTTACATAGAACAGGAGAAACTCCCGTAATAAACACCATATAAAATACAATATTAGAGAAGAAATAATAAATAAACCTTAGGAAGCAGAAGGAAGGGAAATAGGCTAAATAAAATTAAAAATGGAACTATAGGGAATCGATCCAGTAAAAGTTGCAATTTTTGGAAGAAAAAATTCATGGAATGTGCAAACTTTTGGCAAACTTGGGAAAAAATAAGGAACAAATAAATACTATCTAAAGTTTAAAAAGCAATGTAACTATCACTGTGGTAGTTTTTAGAAATGAGAGAATACTGTGAATAACTTTATGTAGGTGAGTCTGAAGGTGAAATAATTTTCAGAACAATATAAATCACAAATATTAGCTCAAGTAGAAAAAGAGTTTGTGGAGTCTTAGTGCCATGAATGAAGTTGGTCCGGATGAGAAAACCTTCCCCTGCGCACAGTTATACCGAAGCCCAGTAGTTCCATAGGTTCCTGCCACCAAGCCTCGAGGCAGTGGTGGCAAACTTATGGCACTGCAGTGGGCCCCCCGGGCCCCTCTGTCAGCCCAGAGGCGCAATGTTCATCCTTGGCGACATCTAAGTGGGTCTGGGCTGCAGTTTGAACACTTGGTGGCTGAAAGCTTTGCTATCACTGTCTCAAGGTCAGCCTCATATACGCATTATTTATTATTCCTGGTGTTAGAAAAACTAGAGAATATTCTTAAGCTTGTTCTGTGATTCTCCAGTAACCTTGACACCAAGAACCAGTCCAAGAAAACAGTTGCATTTGTGAAAATAGATGTACAATTCGTAAACAAAACACAATCCACATAATCCATCCACTTATAGGTAATTTAAATACATCGCGGCCAGGTTCAGTTTATCCCAGGAATGTAAGGTTGGTTTAACACTGAACATCATTTACAGAATTCACTGATGAGCCTCTTAAAGGCAGAAAACAACCCATAAGATCATATTGGCATATGCAGCATAAATATGTGACTGACTTTAGGATACATTCAAGATGAAACTTTATCAGATCAGAAATAGGAAACCCCAACAGAGTATTTACCCCAAGCCCACAGCAGGTGGTTCACCTGGAGGCGGCAGCTTGGACACGACCTATTGTCCTGACTCCAGAGGAAGGGAAGGAGCCCTTCAGAGAGAAGGGCAGTTCCAAGGTCGTGACACAGAGAGACATGAGAGCCCCTGGGCTTCAGCTTGAGATTATCTACTCACCCCAAGCGCTAAGAAATGCCCAATATTCAGCTCTGCAGTGCTGTTTGCAAACCAGGCCACACCCAGTGGTGCCTGCGGGGTATAGCGCCTCCCCTTTTTGTTTGATCTTAAGCTTTTTTCAGCACTATAGGAGCATCTTATGTCCAGTTCATCAGGAAGAGCAGAATCCCGTGTCTCCCTTGGAAGCCACGGGTGGTGAATCAGCTGTCGCTGGTCAGTTGGTGGCAGTGGACACCCCGCTCCTTTTCCTTGGCTTTGCATTTGGAGGGAAGATGGCCTGTTTTGCTCAGATATTAGACTTTCATTCTGCAATTTGATTGTTTCTGGGTAAACCACTTTCCCATTGGGAATGAGCTTTTAAGCTGTTAAACTTTCCGGAGAATTAAAAAGCATGAAATGAAAAGCCTTGGAAGAAATGACTGCTAAGGAAACTATACCCAGAGCTCCTCATGTGATTAACGTTTCAGACTCCTTTTCTGAGACTGGAACATGTGCAAGGTGTCACTAGATCAGAGTGCCCAGTGGCAACGATGGACACATTTGAAGAGGATGGACTTCCTGGGAACAGACAACATGACCCTGGACGTCACTGCACCCGCCTTATCTGCGGTTCAGTTGAGAGTGCTGACTGCCCCCTTCCCGGTCTGTAGCTTCCGCCCCCTTCCCTCTGCCTCTCTGCCCGTTGACTCCACCTGAATTTTCTCACTTCCAGCTTCTGCTCAGCCTCACTGCTCTGTAACACTAGAGCTCAACAGGCAAACAGGCAGCTCCCTGCTGGTGAACACGGAGCTCACACCAAGGCCAACGCACCGTGTAAAGAGTCAAGCCCCAGGTCCCCCATGCTGCAGGCACTGGAGGAGGCTGAGGAAGGAGAGTCCTTTAGTCAGAGTCCTTGCTGGAAAGCAGACTGCTACTCCTGAGGCCATGGTCCTGCTCCAATTTATCCCTCCCTGCTCCCTCCTTCTCTGCTCCCATCTCCCCTCTGCTGCTGCACGGGGACATCTCTGGAAAATAACTGTCCTCCACAGCCCATCCCCCAGCTCTGCATTTAAAAGCTCCCCTTTAAAATCTGTCCATGGGCCCTGGGCCTCGTGCCTCTCCCTCCCTGTGCTCCTAGCCCTTGAGATACCTTCAGGCTTCCGTCCTCTTGAGGGCCCTCTTCCTGGATTGCTTTCACTGCACTTCCTTGCAAAGGCCTCCTGTGCATTTTCCAAGTGAACCCCAGGATTGCCCCTTAGGCGGCATGGGTCTCCCAGTTCGCCCATCTGAGTTTCTATGACCCCAGATGGTGGTGTTTGCTTTCTCTACCTGTATGTGCACCGTGGTCTTCCTTGCCACACTGAGGCTGCAGAATCTGAGAGGCTTGTCTCACTTACACCGAGTGCCTGTGCCCCCAAAAGGCCCAGAACTCCCTTTCCTTCGTCCTGTTCTCTCTCTGCTTGCCTACTTTTTCTTTCTTTTTCCATCCCTTCATTTTCCCTTTCTTCCTCACTTCCTTTCTTTCTTCATTCTCTTTCATCTGGCCAGCTGTGTGTCCCTCCCTCCCTCCATCCATCCACTGTCGCCATCTGTCCTCTGTGTTCCTTCACCTCATGGATATCAAGTGCTGAGGAGAGGCCGCAGCAGCTGAGAGTTGGATAAACCGAAAACCTCTCTTAGATGTGCTCCTGCCCAGCCCCCATAAATTCAGGAGATTGACCTCTATTCTTTGTGCCTCTGCTATCTTATTTATAAAATGAGACAATAATAAATTCCTACCTTGGGTTGTTTTGCAAAGATTACATGAGGTAATTTATGGAGAAATAGAGTGAAATCTGACGTAGGATAGGCGTCCAGTCAGTGCTGGCTCACCTCCTTCTCCTCTTCAGCCTTCAACTCCTCCTCTTCCTCATCCTCTTTATTGCCCTTTCTTTCATGAGCTGGGCCTTGTGCTCCCTGCTGCAATAAAGATACGCCAGTCATGACACCCCAGAGTTCCTGCTCTCTGTGCTTAGAGCCCAGGGAGGAAGGCAGCTTAGAGCAATTCCAGAAGTGAGTTTCACTTGCAGTTGTGCTGGGTGGCAGCAGATATGGGCAGAGGAGCAAGCGTCAAGTGCCAAGACTGACATGCTGACCTCTACAGATGATATACTGCAGGACACGTGCCCACCGGACGTCTGTTCCTAACCGGGGCTTCGCAGGCTGCTTGCAGAACAGCCAGCCCTCTGCAGCACCAATTTCTCTGCTGACTGGTGGCCAGAACTAGCTGTTGAAAACCGTGCTGGGTTATGTTCCTACTCTGCTGTGCAGCGCTGCGAGATGCCCATAATTCCAGATCCCTGCACATTAAAAGCCTGGCTTGGAGGCTTTTGGTGCTTTCCTAGTTTTTGAGGACCAACCTCAAGTGTGTGGTCTGGGTGTCAGGTTCCCTCTGCTGTACCTCCCTGACTGTTTTCCCTTTTGTCTTGGGTTTTGAGTAGTGTTTAAGAGCCTTGAGGGGCTTTGGGACACTGTTCAGAGTCTAATGCAAGCTTCAGCCCCTCTGCAGAAAGGTGAGCTATTCTGTGATCTGTCCTGCGGATCGGTCCGTGGGCCTCACCTGGAGAAGGGATGGGGATGAAGGGCTGGGCAAGAGAAAAGAGAGATGGAGACAGGATGAGATTCCAATCAAGTCTTGTTTATTCAGGAAGTGTACATGGCTTATATAGAGTCAAAGAGGACGTGGCCTTACAGGATGGGCCAGCTTGAATCTTCTCATATGCCATGGGCCTATCAGACTAGCAGGAAGTCATACGTAGGCACATAGGTAAGTGGACATGATGTGAACAAGAGGGGATTATGGGAGATGTAGGCTGAAGCAGGAAGGTGCTTACATCATGTGCACTGTAGGCAAGGGGAGGATCATGGGAAATGTAGGCTGACACACAATGCCCTCAGGTGGGAGGGGCAGGACATCGGCACCCATTCTGAGCCACTCCCTACATCTCTTCCCTTATTATTATATATTTTTAAGAGTATGGCAGGCCCTGGGAGGACAGCACCTGTCTTGGGTCAAGGACTCCTCATATGAACCCAATGGAGCCTTACCTGTTGTGGGCCTGCAGGACAGCAGTTGGTCCTGGGCCTGTCTTAGGTGGCCGATGGCGTAACAGATGTGTCCTAGTTGCCGGTCTCTGGCTGCCTGTCCAGTGCCTCGGCAGTAGGGCCACATCATTATGTGGACCATTGGTGGAATTTTTTTCCCGATAAGTTTGTTGTTCTGCCATCTCCAATTGATGGTAATATACCTGAATGGGCTTTGCCATAAATGTGTCAATCCTGTTATTAATGAGCGTCATGATCCTCTGGAAAACACAAGGGCCTACAGTAAGGAATACTAATAAAGCAGCTAGGGGTCCCAAGAGGCGGGCAATGTAAGGGGAAAGACCCCCCCCCACACACATGGAGGAGAAGGTGGTTTGTCCGAGGTGCTCTTTTTCTCTCTCTTTGAGGTGTTCCCTTAGCTTAGTCATGGACTCTTTGACAACTCCTGAGTGGTCGGCATAAAAACAACACTCTTCCTTGAGGGCAGCACATAAGCCACCCTCTTTCATAAATAGGAGGTCTAGCCCTCTTCTATTCTGTAGGACTACCTCAAATAGAGACGTCAGGGATGCCTGTAGAGCCATCACAGATGTTTCTATTTCTTTTAAATCTTGATCTACTGCTGCCTGTAATTGAGCTAGATGCTGATTTCCTAACACTAGAGCTGTAGTCCCTGTTCCTATTCCTGTTGCGACTCCTAACCTTAGTAATACAGCCAAGGTGAGTGTCCCGGGTTCTCTCTTATATATATAGCTGGTCTGCAATGCCTGGAGGTAGTAGTCTCCTGGGTGGAATGTTATGCGAGGAAGAACCTGTATAAGAACACAAAAATCTGTAGACTTGTTAAAAACAGTGGTTGCTATACAGGGTGAAAGGCCAAAATTGCAGGCCCAAGACGTTCCTGGGGGTGGAATGAGGTAGTTATTTGGCTTGAACTCAGAATGAAGCTGGGCACAGAGTCATGTTGCCAGTGTTGGTGGACGGCTGGAGTCCCCAAGACAAGTCCCTCTACCTGAGACGTCAGGGAGAGTCAGCTTGTGGTGATTGCCCCAGTCACAGGCAGATGAGCTAGAAGAACTGTTAAAGGTTAAATTGAGGGCCTTTCCTTCATAATATGGGGGAGGAGCAGCCAAGCATAACCAACAGGATTGGGTGAGATCAGGTTGGGTATGATTTAAAGCCATGTATGCCCCTTTAATCAAACTGAATAGGTTAGAATGTGAATATTGAGGGGCAGGTATATGATCTGCCTGGTGTGGGGAGGCTTGAGAAACACTTATGATTGGATGACTTACTGTGGTTTTTTGAACAGCAGTAACAGGATCTGTATTAGACTGATTGTATTTTGGATTTGGATTATATTTTGGCTTTAGAGCAGGATTTGGGCCTATGGGCATGGATGAAATCTGTAGGGGAACCTTTTTTATGAGAATAAGATTTCCCCTATCTTTGCCTGACTCATAGACTCGAAGTCCCCAGGTGCGTCCTGTCAGCCAGCCAGGGTCTTCAGGAGTGGTGACAGTGACGTTTAGAACCTGACAGGGTCTTTGATTGGCCAGTGGGTAGTCATCTAGGCTGCACCCCAGTGGCTCCAATGTCAGTTTAAGGTGTTTTTCGGGGAAGGTGAGTTGCCATCCTGTTGCAACTATTTTGCAGCCCCAATGAGCACAAAAATATTCTCCCAGGGAATTACAATATGATCTGTCCCCTGTTGCTGTGGGGCAAAGGTAGAATTGACTTTGTCTGGGACACTGGAGCCCCAGAAAGAACCAACAGGGTGTGGGCGCAAACCATGGACTTCCTGATCCTATCGAAGTCCAAAACACCTCTTGGTCTTTCCAGTGACTAAGCTCCCATATCCAGGGTAGATAGGGTGGTATGGAGGAGGGAGCATGGCAGCACCATTTTGAGTATCGGGGCAGTGCACACCATTTTGAGTACCCTCGGGGCCTCCAGAAAAAGGAAGTGGTAGCAAGTTGCCATCTTGAAAAAGCTCCAGGATATCAAGAACCACAGAGCTGGGAGGGCTGGGTGTTTTAGATAAGTCCTGTGGTTGCGGAGTACAATTGCGGGAGGCAGATAATGCAGCCTCACCTTGGGCAAGTGTCTCCATGATCTGGGGATCTGTGTGACGTTGCGTCAGCAGCTCAGAGATTAGTGTCTAATATGAAAAGGCAGTTACCGGAATCTTTTTTGGGCCAAAAACCCCATAATAGTCTTTGAGAGCATCTCCTACTCTTTTCCACCTGTTTAAACGATGGTGCCCTCTAGAGGGAACCATGGACACACTGAATGTATAAACTGAAAGTACTGAAGCAAGTCTTTTGTTTTATTCACGAACAATTCGTGCTCACTAAGTGCTTGCCCCATGCTAATCCCGTTCACCTACTGTGATTCAGGTGAGACATAAGGTGGCCGTCTGCACAGATCACAGAAACGAAGTCCCGAAACAGTCACGCCGGCTGGCGCTTTACCCCCGTGAATGGTCCGTTATCCCGCGTGCCAGGTCTGCCCCACGTTGGGTGCTACTTGATCCGTCCCGCGGATCGGTCTGTGGGCCTTGCCTGGAGAAGGGACGAGGATGAAGGGCTGGGCAAGAGAAAACAGAGACGGAGACAGGATGAGATTCCAATCGGGTCTCATTTATTCAGGAAGTGTACATAGCTTATATAGAGTCAAAGGGGACGTGGCCTTACAGGATGGGCCAGCTTGAATCTTCTCATATGCCATGGGCCTATCAGACTAGCAGGAAGTCATACTTAGGCACATAGGTAAGCGGACATGATGTCAACAAGAGGGGATTATGGGAGATGTAGACTGAAGCAGGAAGGTGCTTACGTCATGAGCACTGTAGGCAAGGGGAGGATCATGGGAAATGTAGGCTGACACACAATGCCCTCAGGTGGGAAGGGCAGGACAGCGGCACCCATTCTGAGCCGCTCCCTACAATTCTGTGCATATTTAGAAAGATCAAGGACCACTGTGCCCTGATGAGGACCATCCAGGACTGCTCAGGATGGGTTCACCCCATCCTCAATCCTCATAGCACTGGCCTCTCTCAGGTGAATAACGGGTTAAGTGAGTTTGTGTTCTCCAAGGCTGGCGCCTCCTCTCTACCTAAGTCAGTGGCTCTCAGGATACAGACCCTTGTGTCTGGCTAAAGAGAGACAGTGTCACCCAGTGGTAGAGAGCACAGACCCTGGACACAGCTGGCCTGGCCTCAGATTCTAGTTCTGCCACTTAAGAATGGCATCACCAGGCAAATGACTTTCAGCCTCTCTGCCTCCCTATCCTGGTCCACAGGACAAGAGAATGGGAGTACAGCTTCTAAAGGATAGTTCCAAGGAGTAGTGAGATCACTGAAGACACTTCCTGACTTACGAGGCATGATTGAAATATAGGGTGACTGTTTAAATCTTTAAAAAATTCATTACACTGAAAGACACGTTGCCACACATTGCCCAGAACCCTCCCTTGCCCTTTGAATGCATTTAACCTGTTCTTGCGACTTTCTAAAGCAGCCTAGACTGTGTCTTGTAGCGTGCGAATTTTCTTTAAAAATGGAACCATTCAGTGTGTATTCCTATCCAACCTCATGGGACGTGGTTACTTCTCACTAAGCCATGGTAAGTCAAAACTGTCACAGATTGAAGTGACACTGAGTTTGTCTAATCTGTGGGATGTCACAGCTTAGCGACATGGCACACTGCCGAGAAGTAGGTTTTCCCTGTTGGTCACACAGCTGCCTAGACCTGTGCTGCTGTTCTGGTCCAGCATCAGTAAGAAAATACTGTGCTGTGTTTCTCTAGTCTGGGAAGAGATCTGCATTTGAAACTCGGAGAACCATTTCTACCAAGCCTGCATTGCTTTCACCCTGTCATGAAGTCGTAAGTGGAGCAAGCTTGGCGCCGCCTGTGTAGTGAGAGCCCTAGGACTGGAAGTGCGTGTGGCTCTTCCTGCCGGTTCAGTTCCTACTGTGGCTGCTGCGTGCAGCATGGCTTCTATTCGTGGTGGACAGAGGCAGATGCAGTAAGCCCGTGACAGGTGCCAGCTGCCAGGCACACTGCAGACAGAAGCAGGCGTCTCAGCCCTGCCCTCAGGGAGCTTGCACTGCAGCCAAAAACTGCAGCCCATGGTTCAGGTGGTGAAAAGGGGGCATAAACAAAGCGTGATGAGTGACACATGTGGAGGGCTGTCTACCGTGTCTGGTAACTTGGGAGCCCACCACTGAGGGCTTTGTAAACACAGAGACTCGGATGCCCAGGAAGGTGGGTATGGGCACCTCCCATGGAGGAAGCAGCATGTGTGGAGGTGCACGGGTGTGAGAGATGATGGCAGTCATCTTCACAGTTGGGCATAGCTGCACAGGGAGCCAAGCAAGCCCTTGGTGCCTATAGGAGATGCCACACCTATGTCCCAGACTCACTGCCACCCCTCTCCATGCAGGAGCTCCAGGAGTTGGAGCGGAAGCTGGAGGAGCAGCTGTCGCAGCAGGAGGTGGCCCAGCAAGAGCGGGCCCTGGCCAGCTGGCAGCAGTGGGCTTCCAGTGGGCCTGGGGTCTTGAAGGAGCCTGAGGAAGCAGATTCTGATCAACACATCTCCTCCATCCTGCAGCAGGCCCTGAGCAAGGGCCAGCAGATGCTGGAGTGCCACCAGCAGAGGTAGGAGGGGCCGTGGCCTGGGGGTGTCCCCTGTTGCAGGCCTGGGGGGGGTGGCTTCTACCCTCTTCCTAAGGAGCTATCCCAATTCTCAGACAGTGCTGCTAGTGTCAGAGGACCCCAGTTCTCTCTCCCGATACCCTTCTTCCTGTGTTTCCTTTAAGATCATTGAGGTTTACCATGTTTAGCATGAGGTTTAGCATGTTTAGACGTTTTGTTTTTCAGTAATTATAGACCCATAAGCAGCTGTAAAAATACTGCAGAGAGATCCCGTGTGTCCTTTACCCAGCTTCCCCACCTGGAAAAGCCGCACAGGATCACACTGTGTTATCAAAACTAGGGCTGGACACTGGTGCGTGGTGGGCTTTCTTCAGATTTCTGCACGGCCATAGCTGCATGGTCCTGCTTTTGTAGAATTAGGGAGCAGACAGACCTCTGTCTTGTTCTTTGCATTCTTTTTCATTTAAACTAGATGATTAGCCTTTGCCCATGAGCTTAATACTCTTAGAAAAAAATAATCTCGTGTAGTTCCCTAACTGTCTCCAGTGAACACAACATTGATGTGGAAAGGATGGAGTGCAAGCTGTATACCAGACACAGTGGGGTTAATTTTGGAAAATACACAAATTAATTGGCAGGAGACAGACCTGCCTTTATGGGATACGATTTCTGGGTGATGAGGTTACAGGCTCTTTTAACTTATTTGATCATGCACATCTGTGCAAATACAGCATCACAGTGCAATTCAGTTCCACTGGAATAATTGTGTGAGGAGCTGAGTGTGTGTAGCTGCCAACCTTACCTACACCAGAACAAGAGGGAGGAGCTCCGGGGGACTGCTCTTCAAATCCCTTCAGAGTGACATAGAGCTCTCAGAGAATTGCAGAGCTCCTCAGAGCCACTGAAGAGGGACCTTGCTTGTCACTGAGCAGCTTGTGAGCTCTCTGGCCTGCTATTTGGGGAGCAGGCCAGGTGAAGACAGGACGCTCTCCACACACCTGCTTTGGGATGTAGATATATGAGTGTGTGTGTTATTTTTGTATATACACAGGCAACGGAAAAATACAATGAAGGTAGAAATAAAAAACTATCACAGTAAAGACATGTTGTCGCCAGTCCTTTCTCACTCTGAACACACTTATCCCTCCTCCGTGCTGCTTTCTGAAGCAGCTCTGGAGTTCCCCTTCCTAAGTGTCCGTGTGAAATGTGGGCAGACATACAGTGAACACCATTGCCCATCCAGTGGAAAGGCGGATTCGTAAAAACACAGTGGTGTCCTCATGTTTATTCATGGTTTTCACTAGATCTGGCCCCTTGTGACTTCTGGCTCTTCCTCAAAGTCAAAATGGTCATGAAAGGGAAATATGTCCCATAGATGGAAGACAGTGAGGCAGCCAGGACAGTGTAATGAAAGACCCTCAGGAAAGAGTCCCTCCAGAGCTGCTGCAGGAAGCTGCACAAACGGAGAGGGAAGTGCACTTGAAGTAAGGGTTCTGGGGGAACTAGTGGCAGTGTGTTTTTATGCTAATAATTTTTTAAACGTGAACATTCTCCCTGTTTGTTCCCGTTGGAAATGTGGCTCAGTGTAGCAGCTTAGATCTGTACTAAACACCGTGGGGGCTTGCCGTAGCTGCCTCCTTGTGTGCAGCGGGACTCACGATCCTGGACTTTGTCTTCATTCTAGTCTGAGAGAAGAGCAGCAGAGCAGTGCAGTGCTGGAAGATTTGCTGGAAAACATGGAGGCTGACACCTTTGCGACCCTGTGCAGCCAGGTGAGCAGATGGCAGTGTGCTTCTGGGTCTTCCTCCTCGCAGTGCAGACGCCCATTCATACCCTCAGCTTACATCCCCGGATTAGGCCAACTGTGGGTCAGCATAGTTTTTTTTTAAAGCCTGGGCATGGTGGTGCAACCCGTAATCCTAGCGCTGTGGGAGACTGAGGCAGAAAGATGGCAGATTGAAGCCCAGCCTAGGAAGTTTAGAACTTAGTGAGACCCTATCTTAAAATGATTTAAAAGGGTTGGAGATGTGGCTCAGTGCAGAGTCCCTAAGTCCAATTCCTAGGACTGGTGAACAAAGGAAGAAAAGAAGAAAAAGGAAAAGGTTCTTTACTGTCCACTACCATAAAGGCCTCCCTGAGCTGCCTCTCCGTGGTCACCCCCACCCCATTGCCTCCAGTCCCTGACCGCCAGGGTCTATTCTCTGCCTCTAAATTGTGCTCAGCCTGTAGTGATAGCTTTTGGACACTGGCTATGTCTCCTCCGCAGTGTTCCTAAGACCCGTCCAGTCCTTTCTCTCACTGGAGAGTGGTAGCCACGGTGAGGTCAGTGCCCTCATCACCCGCCAACTTAGAGATGCTCCAGGTATCTGCAGAGCCTGCCCTGCTCCCCAGGCTGCAAGGCCTCCTCTAAACCAGGCAGGCAGAAGACAGTGTTACTGTTTGCTCCGCTGCCACCCACCAGGGCTGCTGCACGGTGATGTGTGAGTTGAGTACACTTGGAGGGGTGAACGAAGCCTTTCAAAATGTCGTGAGGTGCCGAGGTTGTGGACCTGATTTTTTGGACAGCCCTGCAACTTTGGAGCATGTTTTCCAGACAGAGCCACTGAAATATTTATTGCCCTGAGAGCAAAAGCCTTAAGAATGTAATAAATTAAAAATTATCCACCCTGTCTAGTGATGACCAGGGTTTGAACACCACCACCTTATCCTGCAGGAGCTAAGGCTGGCGGCTTACCTCTCCAAGATGACCATGGTGCCCGGTGCCACGCTGCGCCGCCTCCTGAGTGTGGTGATGCCCACGGCCCTGCAGCCCCAGCTGCTGGCCCTTCTGGACTCGGTCAGTGAGAAACACCCTGAGCACACGGTGGAGGACCCAGGCAGTGGGGAGCAGCCCGATCCGGGCAGGCGGAGGTGAGTGCCCTGTGTGGCCACAGAACCTGGTGTGGGGTGCATCTGGGCGCCTGTAGGGGGACGGCCCAGATCCGGGCGCCTTCTCACTTTCACGCATCCGCACCATGACAGACCCCAGTATTTGCTATACTACCACCAACTGATTTTCTGAATAAAATTTAAGAAAACAATTATAAAAGGAAGAAGAGCCATAACTGTGTCAGATGTATCCACAAGCCCACTTCCTGTTTGCCCAGAAGATACTGTTTGGGGGAAAAGCTGGACATGTTTTTTAATGGAGAAGGAGTTAAGAAAATGTACAAGTGCATAGAGAGAGAAAAGGCATGTGTGGTTTTACTACTAGAGAAAATGGTGGTTAGCATGTGGTTCCATTTCTCCCTGCATTCCTCCCATTTGGTTCCATCCCTCTCCTGCACCCTCTGTATGTGCATGTGTGTATGTGTTTGTGTGTGCGCACGCACTACCATATGTGAGCATGGCTGTGTTTGTGTGCATGAATGTGTGCACACATGCTCCCTGGTTTGTGATGGGCTGTGTCCTGATAAGCCCGTCCTAGGCTGAGTACCTCACGTGGAGGACACAGTTGAGGCGCAATCTCCCGAGCATCCTTGCTAAGCATCTCTTGGGTCCTGATCACATGACCAGCTGGGCCTGCAGCTTGCTGCTGCCACCCAGCATCCAAGAGTCGGGACCACCTATTGCCAACCTGGTGAGACCAGAATTCAAAGCACAGCTTCCGCAGAGTCCCTGTTGTTTTCTCAGCATCATGAAGCTGAGCACATATAAGCTGCAGCCTTTGAAATCTGGCCCCTTCGTGTGTGGGTGTGGTGAGTGTGCAGCGTGCCCAGTTGTGCGTTCTACCCTTCAGGCTCTGGGCCTCTCCTGCTCTCTCTCTACTTCATGCTCCTCCAGTGAGACACTGTGCACACTTGTGGCTGGGATGGACATGTCACAGCTGGTACTTTCTGTGATTGCCTGCTACTATACAGGGGGTTTGGCAGAGGTATGGGGCTGCTACTGTCTACCCCTAGACCAGCTGGGCTATCTGTTCCCCAGCCATGGATACCTCTGCAAGTGTTTTCCTTTAGGGCCAAGGTCCAGCTGTGACTTTGACCCGGAAGTGCATTTTACAGGGAAGGCAGGAGGCCGGGGCATCGAGTGAGGTGGGTTTTGGGAGAACATGCAAGAAGAGAAGGCATCAAGAGAATCAGGTGTGGCAGCCAGCTATGGACCCCGTGTCCTCAGCTGGGACCCACAGGAGGCTGGGAAGGTACCTAGGATGCTGCAGAGATGGCTGGGTGTGGACAGTGGTGTGAGGACAGGACACTCCCTGATAGAAGGGCAGTGTCTTCTAGTCGGAGCCATAGGGGTCTCTGACTCACAAGGTTAAAAAGTACTGGTGGGCAAGAGGAAAGGGGAGCAAGAAAAGGACAGTTGGTGGCAGCAAGAGTCCAACTGGTAGGAAGATCTTGCCTTGTGTCTCTGCCGGCCAGCATGGTCAGTGGCCACATGTGGGCGTGGCTACAGGGCTAGGTGACTGTGGTCGGGGCCCTAGGTGTGGGGTGGTGAGAGGCACGCTATGGTCTGAGGACCTTGTTTGGGGGCTGCTCCTTCATCCAGCTGAGTTTGCAGAAATGGGAAGGTGGACACAGGGCAGCTGTCACAGAGTGGACTTTGTCCCCACCCTTTTTGTCCAGCCTCCTGACCAAGGGAACGGGGTGATTCTGCAGTTTCAGGCACCCATCCTGGTTCCTGGGGACAGGAACAGGGTAGTCACTATTCTTGGGGCCACATATAGAGTGCCTGGTCATCACATCTGGTCAGGGCCATGGTTCTCAAGCCACAGAAGCTAACGGGGTGACCT